CCCCCCTCCGCCGTATCGCCGCGACGCCAGCTCCGCCCCCACATTGCCATTCACATTGTGTTGACTGATGCTAAATAACTGTTCCAACTCACCTACAAATTCAATTTAAAGACAGATTTAGGAATAGATCTTGTTCCTAACCCAGGGACTGACTGTAATGTGATTCTTCAGGCAAAGTTACAAAATACACCAAGCTGTTGGAGACTTTGTTCACTAAACTGACTGTGGAGCTACTGTTCCAAAGTAGCACCACTGAGATAGTGCCATTATCCCAAGCCTGTAATGGCTGACTGAACCAGTCACCAAAGGTCTTAATTAGTCACCTTTCCAAAAAGCAGCGAGCCAGCTCTCCTCTGTGTTCTCTTCTTCACTCAGCATCTTCAGCATAATGCATGAGTGTTCCCCAGTCAGATCATTCTAGAGACAAAGCCACTAATCGCCATTAGCACATTATGTTTTTGACAAATAGCAACTATTTGTTTAAACAGCTATTTAAAGTATCTTTTTTTTCCTCAACAGAAATATAGTCAGCAGGGGCAAGCAGGGATGGGAGAACATCTCCTTGTCATGAGAATTGAGTCATAACTGGCCTAAATTAACCAAACATTTTTCCTGAACTAAATTAAGAGCCCACTTTCTATCGTTGAATATAAGGGTTGGAACGGATCTTGAAAATCATCCCATCCAATCTCATATCCGGTGCAGGAATCTACTTCTATAGTGTCCCTGACAGATGGCCATCCAGCCTCTTATATCCCCACCACCACTTAGAGCCCCAAGTAAATAAATGAATCACTGCTTCTGCAGTAGGAGATTTGCCCAGAAAGCAGAAGAGAGACTTCCCCCTTGGCTATATCTCACCAGTCAACTTCCAGGTGGGTGGAAAAGAGCTGAGAGTTCTTTGGCTCAGATTTATGGGGCTAAAAAATTATAAATAGCAAAATAAAGAACAATCGTATCAAATAACTAACAAAGCTCTTGCATTTATTTTCTTAAAATACTGCTAGATGACATTTCAAGGCAAAAAATCTCCTAAACTGGTTTATAAAACCTTAGGAGCATGCTTCTTGTGGCTATATAAGACTTTAAATAGTGAGGTTTTACTATTACTCAAAATATATGAGTAAGTATAAACAATGCTTAATAATAACTATACTCTGAGATTCTGAACTATGAAATAAACATGCAGGGAAGTATTGGAACATCTTAATGATGACAGATCTACACAAGCAGTAGTTCTACCACTCAAGCATAAGATTATATTTGGAAATGACAAAACATGTGCGTGTTTGTCCCTCTTGTTTCCTCTTATTCCACCCTTCTTGTAAAGAAAAACCACTCTGCCATTTTCTGAACAAGAAAAATCAGCTTATTTGTCAATGGGACCTCCCCCTCTCCCTGAAATCACAGAAGTAATCATAGAAGTCCTGTTGAGGTCTTGGACTATAAAACAAGACTTACTGGAGTCTGTCTCAAATAGACTGGCACAAATCCACCCCGTTTCCAAAATCTAGTAGGAAAGAGAAACAATAAAAATTAATCTATAAACAAAAGAAAGCTTAGTCCCTTATTTTATCAATTTAAATACTGCATACTATGTCAGAAATACATCCTCAAGCAATATGTTAAAATATAAAACAATTGTGGGACATATCTATCCTGCTTTGAAAACTGAACATTTTCAATTACAAGTTTTCACAGACAACCAAGTCTCCAAAATACTGTCTTTCTCAAGCAAGTCTTGCAGGAAGATAATTTTTTTTCTTTCTCTTCTACTCAAATCTTGCTTAGTGTATAGCAATGTAACATCTTGCGTGTGATGCTAGGTAATGCCTACTTCACAAAGTAGAAATGCCACCACCTTTGGATATGGGGAAGCTACTAGTCAGGACAATGTCACTGAGATGGATGAGAAAAATTTAAAATATTTGCCTGCTGAAATAGAAAGATTGTTTTGATTTGAAAAACTGAGTGAAATAGAATTATTGCAACAGAAAATTGATGCAATACCATGTTTGCAACAGAATTTGCTGAGCAGAACAGAAAATGCACACATTCCAAAGAATCCATAAGTAGCAAGTGTCCCAAGGAAGGGCAGTCAACAGTCCTTTAGTTGGATCTATTACTAAGATGCCTGTCTGGCAAAACACATAGATACAACAATAACTAAAATGAGCTTTGCCCATTGTAATGCACACTGACAGTAAAATGCTTACTTGAGAAGCCTTGGCGTCAAGCCATAAGACACCCCGAGGTAGTCCAGATTCTCGGCCTGTCTCTCACTCAGTTTGAGAAGCAGAGGTGGCAAATCCTTCCGAGGCATCACAGCTTCTTCTAGTAAGCTGACAGCCTGGAACAAAGGAGAGCAGCTTAACAGGAGAGGAAGAAGGACCAGATAATGGCTTAAAACTTGCTCATTCGCTGAACAGCTACTCAGACAGGCATTAAAGAACTCTGATGAAGCTCTGTGCAAACCTCACGCCACCACCCATATAGAAAATTTCATACCTCACTGCTCACAGTGGCAATTTCTCTTGGCTTCTGAATAACCTTTTCTTCCATACAAGGAAATTTGCCTTCATAATACATCTGGAGCAAACGCAAAGCTCGGCTACCATAACCCATCTACCAAAACCAGGAAAGATTTGGAAGAAAGCACATTAAAGGAGACTCTTAAAAGACTCTTACACCTTCCCATTTTATTTTACCAGTTATTACACAGGGTAGTAACTGCTGTGGTCTAATTTAAAAGGCTTTCACGAGCATGCATGGTTGTAGAGAGTGAGGAAGATGACCTTGACGGAGATAGGCAAAAGCTGTTGCCAAGGCAATAGGGGCTAAAGCATTTTTAAGCCCAGAACATCAGCTTTCCAACCACTGGTATATAATTCAAAAGAACATAAGAATCTACAAAATTAATATGTGAAGTAATTTCTGTCCAAAAACAAACATATCCAGACGCTGAGATCAGCTACATTATATATAGTTTGCAATTATTCTAAGCAAGGTAATATTCGATTTACTGTCACTGAGATGGCAAAAAACGTATTTTGGTGAAATCTGAAATAAATTTACCGCTTGGTAATCAGGGTGGACTGCAATGCGAACAATTCTTCCACCAGAAAGGCTCCCGAAATCAGGATCTTGGAACTATTAATAAAAATGGGAAAAAATAAGAAAAGAAATGGATGTTAATGGATACGTAAAAAGAGAAAAACAAATCAATTAAGACTGAAGTACAAAATCCATTACCTGCTCTGAGATATTCCATGGAATGAGATCTCCTGAGGCTTTCTTCCCTCTAGACAGGCTGTTCATAACAGACTGTCGTGAGATCTCACCCTCCAAACACACCTGCAAGAATAAAGGAGAGATCAGATTCCATTCTTCAGTGGTAGACTATACAACATTGTTTACAAATACTGTGTATCAGGTATAGATTACTTAAAATAGTAACAGTGTATATCTAGAAAGTCTGGGTTAATCCAAACTCCTGTTCTGTTCTGTTCCCCTAAAACAGTAATGCAAATGGGGTAGAAGCTGCTGGAAACAGAGTTTTGTTCCTGACACATGTTTTATAATAGCAAAAGTATTAATGAAAGTCTACATTAATTGAGAAAACAGTAATACATATGCTTTGTTTTTGCTAACTCCCAAACACTGCAGCTAAAACAAAGATTCCCAACTTTTTGCTCACAGAAGGACAACATGATACATTTCCTCCCTGGAACCAATGAGAAAAAAATATAAATTCCCTAGGGAAAGATTCAGAGCCCTTACCAATTTCTCTGTTTCTGCTTCTTCCTGTCTGATCAAATTCATTACTTTGGTTACTGGAAAACATCCTCCTTACCTGAACAACAGCAAGCACTTCTGGCAAGGAATTCTGAGTAGGTGGGACTGGTGGCAAAAGGCAAAAGAGATGATGGGCTGGAGCGTCTGAAAGCATCTGGAGGTCATTAGGAGAATTCTGGAGGTTGCAATCACGTTAGAGAATTAGGTCTCAGTAATACAAGCACACTTTGTTAGTTCAGGCTATCCGTTATTTTTAAAATGATACTTTTTATTAAAATACTTATTCAAAATCCCATGTCTTTACAACACTCTGTATTAGGTATTCTCAATTCATTCCCATATACGGGAAGCTGACAAAATTATCCTGGTTCAGAATGCTGTACGTTTCTGTATGACCCAATGGGGCCTCCAGGACTGAATTTAACATTATCTTTAGTATGCATCCTTCATTCAAATCTCAGCAAGTTTTATTTCTTAGAATCACATAATGGATGTGTTTGAGGGAACTTACAGGTTATCTATTCCTACCCTCTGCTCTCCTTGACAGGTCCATCCAGTCCATCTGAAAACCTCCAACAAGGGGAGCCCAACACTGGAGAACATTAGGGTTTTCTCTGTACATCGAAACCTCAATTTAATGGATCTCCATCTAGTGGACTTTGGATGCAACAGCCCAAAATTCAACCCAGACATCCCCCCAAAACACTAGACAAGTCCACTGCATTCAAAGTAATCCAGACAAGGCAATTAAATTTACATTAATTTTACCTTAATTTTAAAAGATTTGCAGCAATTTTCATCACCTGTGTATTGGTGCCATTACATAAATGATGCAAATCATCAAAATGCTGTAATTTTGAATTTGGGAGTAACGGAAACCTCCTTCTCCCACATCATCTGTTAAAATGAGCCTCCTGCTATATTTTAAACCCTGTTAAAACAATTTTAAATGTACAACTAACAAGTGCACGTTGCTTAGCCTAGTTCTGGACTATGTTTCTTGTGCTGCTCATCTATAAATAAAACAAGAAATCAATGGATATTTCTGATTATGCACTAACTTCAATTATTTAAATAATAGATGAAAACATTGCCTAAAGGAGAAAGGGAAAGGGATAAATTGAGGCCCTGTAAGGCTGGGTAACTAGTAGACCTTTTGCTCAATTTGAATCGAGTAAGAGAGCCAGTTTGGTGTAGTGGTTAAGGCATCAGGCTAGAAACCAGGTGACAGTGATTTCAGTGGTGCCTCAGGCATGAAACCAGTGCAAAAAAACCTGTAGGGACTTGTTCAGGCAGTCGCCAGGAGTCGACATTGAGGAGGAGGGGGGGAGTGACCCCTCCATTTCTCTGCTAAATCCAAGCTGAAAATTAGAAACCAACACATATTACTAACCTTGTAGTGAGAAGCCACATATAGGGCCATTAATCTCTGAAGAAAAGTCTCTGATGCTTTGTGATAACAGAACAGAGTGTCTCTGTTCACATAGTATCTGAGTGTCATCCATGAGTTAAGTGATAAGTTCCTGATTTGTCTCTGAAGGCTAGAAGGAAGCAAGCCAAATTTTTCTCCAATCCTGAAAGACAGGCATTGTCCAAACATATTTACGCCCAACAGACTTCATAGGCACTGAAAAGCAGAGGAAGTAAGCAGCTATCCTCATCAGTGATTTATGTCTGCGTAAATTTTAAGATCTGCAAATGTTGGTAGAAAGGTAGTAGATATGATGAGGTTTGTTGCAAAAGAATGAATGTCAGAAGAAGCTAAAATGGCTGGGATAAGAGTGTGCCTACTTTGTTGCATGGAAGTGAGAGCTGGGTACATCAGGAGAAACATAAAAGTTGAATGCAATGGCAATGGGACACTTAAGGAGTGTGTGTGATAAAGCAAGAAGAGGCAGAGTCAAGAATGAATGGGTGTTGAACAAATGTGAGCTGAATGCAAAAGTGAGTGACCAGTACAAAAAAGGCACATCCTTAAAAAGAGGTGAGAAGTTTAAAGAGGTAACATATGAATCAGCATATGGATGTGGTGGTTTGCAAGGACAAAAAGGTATGAAGAGATATGGTGAATGGTGTTGGCATAAACTAGTTTTAGCTACCAATCCTTTTCTTTTTCTTATTTCATGCCATTCATTTCTTTGGTTTGCTACTTCTTGCTCTCTTTCTGCCCTTTGCGTAACGCTTTTCCTGAAAGAGAACCATGTGATGGGTACGTAGGTATGACTCTAAGAGCTGCACATAGCCTGTACAAGGATACAAATCACAGGTTTCAGGCAACGGGCAACCAGATATAATCCTTGTGATGTTGAGACAATCCAAGCATAGCAAGTCATTCAGCCACTTTTCAACAGGATCTCCTGGAGCATATCTAATGGATTCCTGAAGGGAAGCTTCATGCAGTGTACGGGCTGGGGAGAGATGATACAGAAAAGGTCACATACAAAAAGATCTAAAAATCTGTTTTGTCAGAAAAGAAAAAAAAAGGTGGTTGAAAAACAAGACCTGTAGCTGGCTGTCCCTAGAATTATTCCTAGCCTTATTCTTAGTCTTAAACGGCATATTATAACTTCTCATACTTTAACCCAATGACTGGACACATACATTGTGTTAAGTCAGTTTTTTAAGAGATAATTTAACTATTCCAGTTGTTTGGGTTGATACAACATGCCAAGCCATAAACCCCACGGGTTATAAACCACAATGCCTGGATATGCCTAATCTGGCAAACCAAAATCAAACAAACCCTAACCCATCTATATCACATCAGTAATGTGTGGAGCCTTTCCTCAACAGCCGATAAAGTTGAGGAAACAAGAAACCCATCATCTATCAGAGAACAAACAAACCCATCACCTAGCAGAGAAAGCAGATCCTCCGCCACCCAGGTGTAAAAACCTATCAAAGTTCAATTGCCTTGAAGGCTATCCTCAGATCAAAGACAGCTCACGGAAAAGTGATGGTTTTCTGCAATTCTCTGCAATGGCTTTCTTCTGCATATTCTTAAAAAGCGTGTAGGCTTAATTAAGCAAGACCACCGTGGTGTTATATAGCTGGAGGTTTTAGTCTCAGAGAAATACCTGAGGAAAGTTTAGCTGTAGTTGTTGTTTTGTTCTCTGCAGTTACACTGGCTTGGGCCTGTGCACTCTCCTGTCGTAACTGCTGGATCAGTTTCAGTGACAAGGAACGGCCAGTGCCCTCATATCTATTCAAAACAACAGAGAGAGCAGTCAGATGGAAGAGGCAAAAGAACAAGCAGAGCAGCTGGTTTTTAACTTATGATACAAACAGATTAATCCAAATTCTGTCCTGAAGATGTAAATGTATTTCTGGAAATGTTGAAGACATTGGGGAAAAATGCCAGGTTTGTTATTGTTCTCTTGTTTTTAAGGGTGAGGAAGAACAGAAATCCTTGGAAACATTGGAATGTATGCAACATTTCAGTCAAACCTCAATTTATTTTACAATAAACTGTAAAAGTATAAAATGCATCATTCATAACTTTGCCTAACAATTGTATTACTCCTCCTCCCAAGAGAATGGTGGCCCTTGAAGACAAGTCACAGCTTGAGGTACAATAATAAATTAGCCAATTGTATTATTCCCCTTCCAAAGAGAATGGTGGCCCTTGAAGACAAGTCATGGCTTGAAGACAAGTCACGGTTTGAGGTACAATAATAAATTAGCCAATTAAAAAACTCCAAAAGGACCTCTGAACACCCTGGTTTCAGAGCCAACTGATCAATTCTTTGCTTTGTTTTTTTCTATTGTAGGCCACCTGCCAAACATCTAATATCATTTACCTCCTGTTGTACAATTACCAATTCTGAAATAAATCAGAGTGTTGAAATAGCACTTCTAAACCCTTCTTCTAACTCAAATATTTAGTAACTTTTTCTTAACACCAAACCTGCCAACTACTTACATAATGCGGGGCGGGGGAGGGGCTAACGTGAAAATAACCCTGCCAACTAGATAAAGTAATTACTTACCACTAATGGTAAGGACTTGCGTGAATGTTTATCATTTGTTGACTGCATTATCAAATGGCAACCGCATGTGTGTAACTGAGCCATAACACGTTTTATATCACTGGATATTAATTCCGGCACGAGATAGTTAGAGGAAAGAGTTCACAAACTTAGTAGATGAAGCACAGTATATTCATTTGAGAGTCAAAAACAACAAGAACCCAAATTAAGTGCATTCTTCATAATCTTCAGAAACCTGGACAGAGGATCAGCAGTCTTTGTATGACTCCTTGGCAGGTAAAGCTTACCCATTGATAGTAGAAGCCATGAAGACCAGATAAGGGCCCAACAGGTTTTTCACCAAAGGAAGGGGAATGGCAGCAGCTTCATCGATCACCACAAGTTCAGCCTGCCCCAATTTCACAGCATCAGCGGGGTGGATATACTTGGGGGAAGAAGGGAATAGAAAAGGTGAAGGCAGCAAACCCTAAACTGTCATTCTGAGAGTGGTTCAGCAGCAGAAAAAAATAAACTCCATTAGAGCTCCTATAAATTTCTCATTTTGCTTGGTACCTTTTATCTGGAAATAACATAAATAAGCTACGCTTGCAAATCAAATGGACTAGCTAGCAACACTATGCAGCCCCTGTTCACATATAGCAGAACAGAACAAAATAAATGAATGGAAGCATTACTTTTTATTCAGGCTGATGAACTCTTATTTAGGGGTTTCCAATCCTGGCCTGTTCAGAAGCTCTTCATGTATTGATGAAAATTGCTTAAGTGCTGAATTCTGGCTTATTTAGTTATTCAACTAAAGAAGAGGAGCACCATTACAGGAAAAAAGTCCAAATGCCCAGTTCTCTAGGCAGAACACGGGGAAATACCTGGATTGTCTGTCTGTGTTCTCGGAACACATTGACTCTGACAACGGCTTTGCTGAATTCAGGGTTGAGAGACTGAATAATTTCATAATCCAGATGTTCCTGAAAACAAACATAACGGGCAATGAGAGTAATGAATTAAATATACTCTCTCTCTCTCTCACACACACACACACACACACACACACCTTTTTCATATATAACTCAAGGGGGCAAGCATACTTAATACTCCTATCTGCTATTTTCTCCACAACAAGAACCCTGTGAGGTAGGTTGGGCTGAGAGAGAGTGACTGGCCCAAAGTCACCCAGCTAGCTTTCATACCAAAGGGAAGCCCAGAACTCAGTTTCTAGGCCAGCACCTTCACCACTACACCAAACTGGCTCTTATTAGAAGGAAAAAAAATATTTCAGCTGCTGTCTTGCTTAGAAAATGATATACACTGTATAGAGACTGGAGAAACAGGATTCAGTCTTCTATAACTACATTTTCCCTATAGTCCAGGTTCAGTAATGTGATATCCATGTGATGCCCATCACACCCCAAAAAGCTCTTATAACTTCCCCAAATATAATTAAAATATTTTTAAATAGCTGAAACCTCCCATGATTGTGTGAGATCTCCAGAAAAGATCAACAAAGCCAAATGAAATGATAACACAAGGGTTCCATTAACTTTGTGGGGGGGAAATTGTCCAGAGATTGTATGAAAACATACAGAAATGTTGCTGATTCATGCTGTAATCTATGCAGCACAGAATTATTCTATTAAAGGCCAGCCTAAGACACACATATATCACATTAGATACAGGTAATCCTCATTCAACGACCATTTGAAGTTACAATGGCGCTGAAAAAGGAGGCTTATGATTGGCCCTCGAAGTTGTACCATCGCAGCATCCCTGCAGTCACATGATCGGGCACTTGGCAACCAGCACACATTTACGACAGTCACAGCATCTTGTGGTCACACAATTGCCATTTGCAACCTTCACAGCTGGCTTCTGACAGAATCAATGGGGGAGCCAGCAGGAAGTCACAAATTGCAGTCACATAACATCACACTTAATGACCGTGAGTGATTTGCTTAACAATCACAGCCAGAACTGATAAACTGATGTAGCAAAGTAGTCACGGTCATATGACATTTCACTTTATGACAGCACCACTTAGTGAGAGTTGCAGTCAATAAGTAAGGACTACCTGTAGCTGGCAAAGCATACACATCACAATTTCCCCAATTGATATGGTATACCCAGATTTCCAAGCAAAAACAGGGCTCGTGTTGTCTAAAAACATTCCATGAGTCAATTTCTAGGGTAACAATATTAATATCATCTCAAAATGGTCATGTTAAGCAAACACATACTTATGCACCTTCACAAAATGTTCATTAGTGCTGCTTTTCATTGATGACTATGGAATGGCCCTCTGAAATGACTTCCCATTGGTCATAATCCATGAAGGCTCTTCCCAACCATATGATTCGCTGGAGTGGTGTCGGACAGAATTTCACATTTTGTGAAATACAAACCCAAGCAGCCTAATCATGCTGACTGGAGTTGGGAATTGCAACCCAGCACATCTGGAGGCTGCCAGGCTTGAGAAGCTCCGTGTAGAATATGTACATGCCAAGGCAGGGAAGAGAGCCAGTTTGATGTAGTGGTTAAAGGCACTGGGCTAGAAACCGGGAGACCCTGAGTTCTTGCCCCACCTTAGGCACAAACCCAGCTGGGTGACCTTGGCCCAGTCACTCTCTCTCAGCCCTAGAAAGGAGGCAATGGCAAACCACTTCCCAAAAACCTTGCGAAGAAAACTGCAGGAACTAGTCCAGGCAGTCACCAGGAGCCAAAAACCGACTCGAAGGCGCACCCCCCCCCAAAAAAAAGACAGGGGAAGAGAGAAACTGGTGGAAACATATGATAGAGAAAATTTTTGGCAAGTTGAGATGCTCTAATGAAAATATTGTGTCCCTTCTGCCATTATCGTCTCATCTTACCTGGTACTGTAGAGCATCAAAGCCTTTAAATACAAATTCAAACAGGGTGTGAAGATTATCTGGACTTGGAGATGTGACAAAAATGTTGGAATAGCTACAAAAAAGAAAGAAAGACAGGAACAGATGCTACAACTTTTTTTCCTTTACTGAAATGGCAAAAGCAATTTTTAGCATATCATCTCTGAAACATCGAATCAATTAAAAAAATTATGATACAATGCCCCAATTGTTAAGAGAAAGCAAAACAAAGTTTCAATTTATGAAAAGGATATACAAATGTCAGTTATTAGAACAATAATTCTCTTACAGCATATTTATGGCTATTGAGTTTCATGGTTTTTTGGTAGTATCGGCTTGTGGAGGCTGGATTTTTAATTTGCTATTTACTTGACATTGTAAACTGACCAGAATATTTGGAGTAGTGTTTGAAAGAACAAGTGAGTGAATGAGTGAATAAATGAAAATGTACAATAGTACAGAAGCAGCTCTAGATTTTGGCCAATCTTTCAGTGACGTAGTAAATCTGTCCAGATTGCACTATTTTAGATTGTAAATGATGGATCACTTTTTAAAAAATGATGAGGTGTCCAGTGTAAGCTACCATTTGCAGACTGAAGTAAAATAGTCCAGAGATTGCATTCTCCACCTCAGTGAAAACTAGAGTTTATGGTATTCAAATTCACTTGTATTCCAGGCTGACAGTAACAAAATAAGATTTCCTCAGCACACCAATTTGCTGAATGAGTAGCTGGAAGCGTCATCAAATAAAAATTCTGATTCAGACACCAAAAGGATGCAAACAGATACCATCAAGCACTTCCTTAAAGGAAGAGAAAAATAAAAATTGCTTTGAATTAAGCTGTGACTATACATATGTATCCATATTGTTTTCTTGACACAACAACGGAAGTGTTTGCTAGTGCCTCCTTCTCGATGTTATTCCAGCCCTGGAATCCCCTGGAGGCTTCCCATCCAAATACTAACTAGATCTGATCCTGCTTAGCAAGCAAGGCCAGGCAAGGTTGGTTATGTGCTGCTACCTGCTGGAGACTGAAGGAACAGTATAACTGGCATATATTATTGGGTTATATTACCTATTTACACATGGCCAAAGGGAATAATGTACAGTAGAGCGAAAATAATTTCTGCTTTGAGCTTTCTAACTAAACTTTGTGAAGAGGCAAGTCCCCTCTCAGCAGCCACTTTGTGACTGTGCCCACAACAAGTTTTAACTTTCCAAACGTGCCCACTAGCTCAGAAAGTTTGCCTATCATTATCTTTAAGTCTGACCATTTCATACAAATCCCCTCTTAGAATATCTAGGAAAACCTTACCCAAAGGCCACAGCTCCGGCTATCGCCAATCCCAAAGCAGCTGATTTCCCACGCCCCCTGGCAGCTGTTAAAGCCACAGTGCTTCTCAAGGTCTTCTCAGAAATAGCTTCAATGAATTTCAGGACTGCTTTCGCCTGTCAGTGAGGAAAGAAGCCACCAAGACAGGTGATTGTGGACATCAATGAGAAAAGACAACAAAAAAACGTAAAATAAAATAGGAAAAGAGAAAGTATTAATAAGAATTATACAAAGTTACCCATAGAAGACATTATATACTGTATAAACAGAAGTTACCAACAGAAGAGAATATACACGAAGTTAGTTTAATCCTAACATATTTTGGCTTTTCTCAACAACTTGGATTCTGCAGACCTAGAGGGGACATTACTGTATTTGCATTATATCATGTATTTTATAATATAGATAAGGAGAGCCAGTTTGGTGTAGTGGTTGAGGCACTGACCTAGAAACCAGAAGATTGTGAGTTCTGAGCCTCCCTTAGGCACGAAAGCCAGGTGGGTAACTTTGGGGCAGTCACTCACTCTCAGCCCAACCCACTTCACAAAGTTGCTGTTGTTATGGGGAAAATAGGAGGCAAGATATGAGGTAAATTCACTGCCTTGAGTTGACCACAATATATTAAAAAAAGGTCTGAGAAAAATAATAATATAATAATAATAACAACAACAACAAGAACATCCCAATTTGAACATAAGTTACCTGATCCAGCGTTTTACAAGTATCGACCAACATGCCAACCGGCTGTGTGTCCTGTAAGCTCTCCTTTAACTCCTTCAGTTCCACATCACGAGGACTTTGGCTCTCTTCCTATAAGAGAACAGTTGTCTGAATCCAAAATAGCTATTTTTAAGGGAAAAATGGGAATAATATATGGAAATTCCAATTATGCTAAACATGAGCTGAGTCAAAAGGGAAAAGTGACCTTTTTGTAAATGCTTTCAACAATTCGCAGGAAATTTGGGGATGTTACTTCATCAAGCTACACTGAGAGTGTGGTTCCTTAATGGTGGGTTTGTTTGCCCTCGGCAGTGTCAGTATTTAGCCAAACCTGCAGAGCTGGATGTAAGGATGACTAGATGATAACCAAGTGGTTGTAATGCTCACGCAACTATTCCCAGAAAGAAACCCTGTAGGAACCACAGGAATAAACGGTAAGATGACAGAGAGTCAAATAAGAGCAGCAGCAAAGCAGGCTGAAAAATGGGAATGTTTTTACAAGTAGATTAAAAATATTTCCATTTTCACTCACAAAAATTTAAAAAGCAGTTCTAGAGTTACACTGAACGTTTGTCTATTCTGAGTTGTCCTTTGGTGGGGACTGTCATAGTTTTCTTCCAAATTAGTCATGGTGAGGACACTCGTAGGCATTTTTAGTTCTATCTGCTGTAATTTTTTTTACATTCTTCCAGGTACCACTTGAAATTCAAATTCTACTGAAAAAGCAGCCTCTAACCACTGTGTTTGGAATAAGAAACAACAGCCTGCTCTCCTGACACAGAATAAGAGGAGGCCAAAAGGAACACTTCTATTTCTTTTAAAGTCTATTCCTACTGCATATTAAATATCCCAATTAAATCCAAATCCAAATAATTACATATTTCATATGAAGGCCTAAAAGCATTGACGATTATGAGGTAAGTACACTCACCTGTGACCAGGGTGGAACAGCTGAAATGTTTGCAACATGACTAGAGATTGGGAGGATATTCAACTGATCATCAACAACTATGCAGGTTTTGCAAGAGGCCAGAGACAGAATGAACCTGCATGATGAGACAAGGGGGACAATAACAATATTGCTGCTGAATCTGACTTTTCCTCAGTGCACAAAACGTTCCTCCTCTTGCAGCTCCTCTGTACATCATCCTGAAGGTAAAGTGTCTCAAGAGCAGTTTTCAACAGAGCACATTTGACTGCCAAGAAAGCTTGTAGATACAGCAGTTCCCTTCAACAAGAACACTTCATTCATGCTCTCTGCCACTTGGTTGGTGGCAGAGATGGATTGTAACTTATAAGGCCCTATATGGCTTGGCCCCAGGATACTTGCAGAACTGTCTTCTCCAAGCTGCCCAATGTTTACATCATGAAAGAAACTAATAGTGGATCCCCATTTTCACTAGGCAAAATGACCTAAGGCTCACAGACCTTGCTTTTCCACGGGGCACTTGTGCTATGGAATAGCCTCCCACTTGAAATTCAGTTGGCCCTCATGTTGTTGGCATTCCATACATTTCTAAAACCTGAATTATTTTACAGAGACTTTGAAGGATGACATGGTGCCCCTGTTTTTTTTCCCCCTATGGATAGGATTATGTTTCCTTTGTTGCTTTTTATTAGTGCCACGTTAACTCTATTCTATGGATGTTTTATTGTAAAGTTGTATTTCGAACCACCAAGTCTCTTGATTGTGGGGAGATACAAGCCCAATCAACCAATCAATACAGTTGAATTTAATACAGACTTTCTAAATGTTTCCACTAGAAGGCAGCAAACATTTTGGCAGGTGTGAAACCACTTCTTGTATGAGGAAAATACTCAATCAACACAACAGATAAAGCAGATAGATCAACTTTCCTTGCCCTTGCACATTTGCTAACTTGTGTAAGTGCTCAACCTACCTTTCATTAAATCTGCCAACCACATCCTGATGCGCCTCTGTCCTATAGCGGGAGTGGACATCCTGGAAAATGAAGAGATCCTTATGTGAAACCTGAATGGCCACCAACTACCCACACAATTTGCAGAGCTGCCAAATATTGTACAGCCTCTGGTTGGACTGAACTACCTTCCAAGGTCACATTTCACTAACAGCTGCATTCCTAACATCTCAGATTTAGCCCTTTCCAAGACTTTGGGGAAAACGACAAATCAAGAAAAGAATACATGCGTACGCCACTCTGCCCTCCACAAAACTCACCCATCGCTTCAAAGAAGCCTGGCCTTGAAACAGCTCCCTTCCCTGATGGAGAACTGAGCTGTTCCTCAAACAGGAATGCCAGGTGGGAAGCAAAAGGACCACCCAAACCTCCTCAGCTGAGAGGGAAGGGGAAACCTCCTCATTCTGGGGAGGGAAAAAGCAAAGGCCATAAACTGCTACTATCAAGAGAGCTGATCTCTTTAGTTGGACACTATAATCTGACTGTGAAGCTTCAAAGGAGACTGAATTTGTTTTAAAGCCATGATCCTGAAAGCGTACAGGGGCTTGTGTGAATAAAGTAAGCAATCGCTCTACACCTTGGATATGTCAATGCTTACCTTCTGACACTTGCAGCTGCCTGTCTGCTCTCCCCCTTTCCACATACAGAGGTTATCTCCACCCAGTTCTCTATCAGAAAACCTCCCCTCTGCCGTGAAATGTGAACAAGGGCACCCAATACTTATTACAAAAGGGAGATTACATAAAGAACAGAGGCAGGAATGGTTGGGGAATGAAGCTTCTAAGAAAAACAGACTAAGGTTTGTCAGCAGTGCATATATTTCTCTTACTGTAAAAGAGTTACGTTAATACAGTTTAACAGAGCGCCAGGCCAGTTTATAAACAAAAAAAGTACCATGGTCATTGTGTAAAGCTGCTTCAGGGAATTCATTGTTCTCAGAAGAATTGCAATGATACCTCCCCCTTCCACAGTTTCAATCGTTCGAGCTAGGAGATTTGGAGTCAAGGCTTCAAAATCCTGGGGAAGATGATGCAGGAAATTTACATACTGTTTCCAGATTCGTTCAGATTCTATCAGCACCATCCCCACTGCAAACAACATAAGGCTTCTACCCCATCAGCTTTGCAAGTAACGAACTATTCTAGACCAGAATAAACCAGAAACCCAAGCACTTTGGGTTTATGTGGACTTGAATTTTCCCCCTTCTTGAAGGATTCCTGTACAGCCGAATCACACTTTTCCTGTGCATCTCCTTATTATCTTTACAAACCATTATCTCTTTCCTCTAAAGAGTATATCCCTCCTGATGCACTTCCTTGGCTCTTCCATTAGGAGAATGGCTGACAACAATGTAAACACCCCAATGAATTATTGTTCTATATTTTGCCTACCAACTTCACAACATTCAAGGATCCTAGACGCCACTTCAAATTATGGTTTAAAATGAACAACTTCCTTGTAACCAAGGACCAGATTCTTTTTAAGACTTACCTCCAACTGCTACAGGGTGGAGTTTGGGATAGAACAGGGGGTTAAGTATAATACACCTATTTTGCTTTCTAAACCAAAACCAGCACCTCCCCAAATCAGGACAAATCAGCATTTTTTTCAGGGTTTCAGGCATTTTTAAAGAGTGAAACGGAGGCCTCAGTCTTTAATATATTGCAAGTCTTAAGCCATTCCATTCCCCAAAAATCACCCAAATATTTTGGCCTCATCATTCTGTCGATGCTTGGGGAGCTACAAAAAAAGACCCATAGATATAAGTGGGTAAGATATGATACTCATAGCTTCCCAAGTTCAGATAAAAATAACAAACTTTACCCAGAAAATCTATCCTATACAGTGGTACCTCGGGTCACGAACTTAATTTGTTCCGCGACTCTGGTCGCGACCCGAATTGGTCGTGACCCGAATCAAATTTTCCCATTAAGTTCAATGTAAATATGGTTAATCCGTTCTGACCCCTCCAAATTTGGTCGCCAACCGATTTT